AAAAAAAAAAAAAAAAAAAAAAAAAAAAAAAAAAAAAAAAAAATCCTCTCATAAGAAACTGTCTGGCTATTATTAGAGGAGTTAGATTTGAAAATCTTTTTCTCTCACACTATCATACATCAAATAGTTTAAAAGTACAAGCTACATTGTAAGGCTCTTTTCTAATAAATTTTTCTCTATAATGGACCTCATACTTCGCTAAGAAAAGAGTAATTTTGTTAGTGTAACCGTCCAAACTCACGACTAATAAATATTGTTTTTTTTGGGTTTTCCCTTCCGGACTTCTCCTCAAGGTCTTAAAACGTGTCTACTATGGAGAAGGTCTAGCCCTACTCCGACTAGTCCCTTACACCGTCTGATGACCGGCTCTGATACCATTTGTAACAGTCCAAGCCCACCGCTAGGAGAGAGCTTGGATTGTTACAAATGGTATCAGAGCCAAACACCGGACGGTGTGCCAACGAGGACACTGAGCTTTGAAGGGAGTGGGCACCGAACAGTGTGCTAGCGAGGACACTAGGCCTTGAAGGGGGTTGATTGTGAGATCCCACAACGAAACATTCTTTATAAGGGTGTAGAAACCTCTCCCTAGCAGACGCATTTTAAAAATCTTGAGGAAAAGTCCGAAAAAGAAAGTTGAAAGAGGACAATATGGGCTTGGGCGGTTAGAGTTATCCTCTATCTAACTAGCCATGCAAATCAAAACCCAAAAACATGGCCCTGGCCACTATGGTTGGGTTTGTAGCTCAATAATGAATGGTAAAAAGAGACTACATGTCTTATTTTCCCAGCTCCTCCTGCAAACCATCCATAGTGGAGGAGTTCAATAGCTCAACAAATCGCACTTGGGGCACTTTTGCTCAGTCAGGAAACCATGAAGAAAAAAGTACAGGAAAGTAGGAAAAGGTTCATAAGTTCTCCATTACTTTACTGAAAAGAAATGCAAAAAGAGAATAGAACTAAAAAAAGTAAAAGAAATATCCCATTATCGTTCAAGTCCATAACCAGTTTCCCCCCTTTTCCACACTCGATGGCTTCTAGGGTTTCTTTTCGAAGGAAGGATCCTCCTATTCCTAAATTAATTTATAATCAGTACACAAACAACTGTAAGATTTGAGAAGATAGCTCAAATTCCGTCCACGTTCAATGCAACGAACAAATCCACACACTTCCTCTTTAAAAAAGAAAACAAATATCAAAAAATTCCGCTACTCTAATCTATTGCAATCTTTCTGCTAACAAAAGGAAATCGAAAAGGTGTTTCGATGTGTCGAAATCTTACCGCCTTCATTTCTCTGCAACATTCCCGATTCGTCGCTCCCCATCGAAAGCGATGCCACAAACTTAGGGCTCTGTTTGATTATTGGCGAAAACTCTGCAATTACCAAACAAATTGAGTCAAATCGGAGTTCATCTTTAACCAAAAGTCAAACAAATTCATCCACGGTTGAACTGGATCGGGAATTGAAGCCTTTTGGCACTGAATAGAGTAATGTGGCCGCCGACGCTTCAACGATGAACTTGGATGTTTTAGCGGCTAGATTCCAATTGAGTGGCTTCTATAATTATTCCATATTCCAAATAAAAGCTGAGTTTACAACTAATCTGAACCGTTGGATGGTTGTAGATCACCACGTGTCGGCATCGTAGTGGTAAACATTAATTAAGGTTTTTAAATTTTACTTATATTAATAAAAATACTTGGTAGCAATTGAGCTGTTAGAAGTGTTCATATGATTTGATAATTCGACTATCTTGTACTATCCAACCCAAATTATAAAAGTTGAATTGAGTTTAAAAAAATTTAATATAGGTCAGAGTTTAATTTTTAAAAAATAAAAAATTAGCTTTAGTTTGTGGGTTAACATTTTTTTGGTCAAGTAAGCCCGACCAACCTGTAAAATAGGGCTGTAATTCAAACTATTTTTTAAAAGATTAAGAATATTTAACATTGGTAATTAATGTTAGTGATGTGTTGTGACTTATAAATGTTCCATATTCAAATTTTATGAAATTTTAGTAACGTCTGATTTAACTAACCTAACCAATTGCCATTTTCCACCTCACCAATATCTTAACAACTTGTCTTTTCTAAGTTGCCCATGTTAAATCTAATCCATTTAAAGTTAATGGTGTGTTTTGTGTGAATAAAATGGAGAGGTAATTTTAAATGTGATAGAATTGATCTTGAGCTCAGTCACGACCTTAATAAGATATCTAGACGAAAGAATCTAACATATAAAAGAAGAGAAATTAAGAACGCTACAAAAATTTAAGAATAAGATTGAAAAACGACAAAAGAAGGAATAAAAAAACAAGCATAATACTCATTTGGTGCTCAATGTCACATCAACCTGTTCTTGACGCAAAAACTCGTATCGACAATTTGGTCAACACATCCTTTTGGGCTAACTTTGGCCGATGCTTTATGAGGTCTAGTCAACCTCTATGGGAATGTTCGACCCAAATAGTTGGCTTTAACGTTTCCTAAGAATAGATCGACAAACCATCAAGATTTATCTTGATTTGGCCGACGATACACTTGAAGTATCGACGTTACTTTTGGTTTTGTCAACAGTTCTGTAACAGTTCAAGCTCTTTCGGGTTTCTTCTCACGGTTTCTAAAACGCGTCTGTTAGGGAGAAAGAATATTTTGTTTCCGTCTCTAACTGACGTGGAATCTCACAAGTTCACTGAATCGTCGATATTTTCTTTAACTTGGTTGACGGTTTCGTGTTTCAACGACTCCCTTTAGAAAATATCGACGACTTAATGAACTACCTACGATATCGTAGCGACGATGGGTTAAGTAGGGTTCACTTCAATATCAAATAGAGTCGTGAGAAAGTGAAAAGGTTTGAAATGATGAGTGAGTGAAGCACTATGACAATAGCAAACTAAAGCAAGCTGCACTTGCAAATGCATGTGTAAGCTAATAGCGCCAACCATGGTGGCTGGTTGTGTCCTGTTGCTTTCACTAGAGACGTGACAAACCATAGCCATTGGAGCTCAACTAGATTAAACCATACCTTTTGAATATATTCTCTCCAAGATCATTTTCATTTCGGACCAATATTACAACCCGAACGAATATCTATTTCGTGATTTTAATAAGTTTAAATTTAGTCATACGAACTTAGGTTGGTCGGTGTAATTGATAGGATTAACGAACCCAACTTCCTTAACACTTTCGGTGAGCTGAATTGTTTCAAAAGTAATATCTTAATTGGTTCATTTACGAGGTAAATTTTAATAGTATTAATGTGAGATCCCACATCGATTGGAGAGGGGAACGAGTGTCAGCGAGGACACTAGGCCTCGAAGGGAAGTGGATTGTGAGATCCCACATCGATTAGTGAGGGGAACGAGTGCCAACGAGGGCACTGGGCCTTGAAGGGAAGTGGATTGTGAGATCCCACATCGATTGGAGAGGGGAACAAGTGCCAGCGAGGACACTAGGCCTCGAAGGAAAGTGGATTGTGAGATTTCACATCGATTGTTAAGGGGAACGAATGTCATCGAGGACACTGGGCCTCAAAGGGAAGTGGATTGTGAGATCCAACATCGATTGGAGAGGGGAATGAGTGCCAGCGAGAACACTGGGCCTCGAAGGGAAGTGGATTGTAAGATCCCACATCGATTGGTGAGGGGAACGAGGGTCAACAAGGGCACTGGGCCTCGAAGGGAAGTAGATTGTGAGATCCGACATCGATTAGAGAGGGGAACGAGTGCCAGCAAGGACACTGGGCCTCGAAAGGAAGTAGATTGTGAGATCCCACATCGATTAGAGAGGGGAACGAGTGCCAGCGAGGACACTGGGCCTCAAAGGGAAGTGGATTGTGAGATCCCACATCGATTGGTGAGGGGAACAAGTGTTAGCAAGAACACTGGGCCTCGAACGGAAGTGGATTATGAGATTCCACATCAATTAGAGAGTGGAACGAGTGCGAGCGAGGACACTGGCCCTCGAAGAAAAGTGGATTGTGAGATCCCACTTTGATTGGAGAGGGGAACGAGTGCCAGCGAGGACACTGTGCCTTAAAGGGAAGTGGAATGTGAGATCCCACATCGATTAGAGAGGGGAACGAGTGCCAGCGAGGACACTGGGCCTCGAAGGGAAGTGGATTGTGAGATCCCACACTAATTAGAGAGGGAAACGGGTGCCAGCGAGGACGCTAGCCCCGAATGGGAGTGAATTGTAAGATCCCATATTGGTTGAAGAGAGAACGAAACATTCTTTATAAGAGTGTGGAAACCTCTCCTTACTGAAAAACAATATCGACTAGCAGTGAGTTTGAGCAGTACAATTTCTATACAAAACACTAATTAAGTACGTTCAAACATGTTTTTAATGCACCTAATATATGCTCTTTTAACTTTATATTATATAAAGACGAGCGCAAAATTCCAAAATATGAATAAAAAACAGGACCATAACTCCATTCATATATGTATCAATTATTATATGGTTCGAAGTTACAGTATGATATTATTTAGATAGAGATGAGGAGCTAAGAACGCCATCGTTATCGATATATACCCTTTTTGGAACTTGAACTTCCTCCATTCACTCCATCCAACTATACATGGCTATTGATCTATACAAGCCTAAGGCTTTTGAATTCCTTGCCATAGACCTCTCTCGTGGACAAAAAGAGATGGGAGGCTCAAGGCTTTATCTCCATCCATCCATTTGCTTTATGTTTAAGCAATTCCATTCTCGAGTGGTGTGTATAAATATATCTATATCTAGATATCTATGTGTATATTGAAAATTATCGGGTTTTTGGAAACTAGTCATGAAACTATAGTGATCTTAATGGTAGCCGTCCAAGCCCACCGCTAACACATATTGTCCTCTTTGAGTTTTCTCTTACGCACTTCTCCTTAAAATTTTTAAAACGTGTCTGCTGGGGAGAGATTTCTACATCTTTATAAAGAATGTTTTGTTCCCCTCTCTAACTGATGTAGGATCCCACACTAATGAATGCATAGACAGGGAGGGAAAATGTTTTTCTTGTCTTCATCCCATTTCGTGAACATTTCTAACGGTATCTATAGCGTTTGGAAATTAGCCTCAAAACTGTAGTAACCCTAATGTATATGTATATAGCTATATCTATAGGTGAAATAGGTGGTAGAGACAGAGAAGACTTTGGAAATTAACCTGAAAACTGTAGCAACCTTCATGTATAGACGGAGAAGACTTCTCTATCTGTATCTCACCCCATGAATATTCGTGTCTATATATGTTTATAAATTCAATGTGTATTTTTTCCAAATATATGATAACCCTAATGTGTAGGTATATGTATATAGCTATATCTGTATGTGAAAAAGGTGGTAGAGACCGGAACAGAGAAGACTTTCCTATTCCCACCCGCATTCCATAAACATCTCTATCTATATATTACAAATTAACGTGATTTTTCTTTAATATAGCTATTATTTTAAAAGAATAATAAACGGGAAAAAAATATTCGAGGATCCAATCCCCGCAAATTTCATGCAGGGAAGTTCTGCCCTGATCACTACAAAAATAAATGAAGAATTTGGCAAGAATCGAGATGAGGAAGACTTCTCTGTTCTTGTCCCGTAGACATGTCTAATTAGAACATGTAATCCACGAGGCAAGTTTTTGTTTTCCCGAGTTAAATGAATTGTTTTTTTTTTTTTTTACCTTCTAAAAAAATATTTCAATTATTTAGTAGGGACCTAATTTTAAAAAATAAATGAAAATTTAAAATTAAAAAAATGTAGGGACATAATTATAAATCATTATATTTAGCCATGAGAGGATACCTATTTGACCTTCACATCATGATCAACTATTTAAATATAGAGGACGGCTACCATTAACGTCACTACAAAGCATCTTTAATTATCCATAGGGGTTTATCCAAATTATTGGTCAAACCATCATTTATTTCTAGAATATGTACACGTATGATTTAGAGGGCCACGTGGTTTTTTATAGGTCTAAAGTTAAGTCTATTCCCGCTCCTATTTGGTCGTTGTTGATTATCAACAGCTACATTTGAGGATTATACAGGTCTATTCTTCTTAAAAGTTGGATTATCAACGTGTCTGCTAATTCCTTGAATATCACTGCCATTTTCTTGTCGGAATAAAAGAGAATGCTCGAGATTGAATTGCATTTGGAACTCGGTAGAGTTTCAACCGTGATCGGTAAGTGTCGAGGTGGTTTTAAAATTCAAATAGGTTCAAGCGAATTTAAATTAGTTGAATTGCAAGAGTAAATAAAGTGTTATTAGGTATAAAAAGGATCCATTAATGGTGTGGCAAATGTAGAGCTATTAATGGTGGAGACTAGAAAGTTGACTTTTAGTCAAACACCAAAAATTCAAAATAGCATTCATTTATTATTATTATTATTATTATTATATTTTATATCAAAAGATGTATTTTTATGGATAAAAAAGTGCATTTTTTTTATAAGAAATTGTAGTTTATTTTCAACACTTTTCAATTATTCGTTTCTCTTCAAATATTTCATCATTTCTTGAGGGAACATCACTAACTAACTATATATATGTGCTTATCTTTGAGATAATTTCTTCAAAAATAGTTTTTAAATTAATAGATTTTTTAAAAAGGTATTTAATACTTAAATCAATAAAATAATTTGAATAAGGCTTTAAATTAAAATAATAATAATAATAATAATAATCTTAAATTTTAAAATTTCAAATAATATTCTTAAATTAAAAATACATTTAAACTTAATTAATATTTTATTTTAAAAATATTTAAAAATGTTTTAAAACTATTATTAGAGTGATTAGAGTATTGAAGGTTTTAATAATATACTTAATTTCCATAAAAATTTTAAAGATACATTTTAACTTGAAAAGAGAATATTTTACAATTAATTAAATGAAAAGAATATTTTACCATTAATATATATAAATGAAATCGTTAATAATTTATTTCTAAATATGAATTTTCAAACGTAACATTTATACATTTAAACGTTAAAAAAAAAATTAAATATTTCTACGCTCAAAATAAAAAACATAGAAATTTTATGTATAGATAGATGGTTTCCTACTATATATTTTTATCAAGGTTAAGGGTATTAACGTTATTCTTCAAATTTTATGTATATTTTTAAAACGAGTATTAATGGGATATTTTTTTTAACTTTTAAAAAGGTCTAAGGATATTAATGAAACTTTTTAAAATTCAATGTTATTTTCGAAGTATAGTATATTTGAAATAAAATATTAATGATTTAGACCCAAAATTAACGGTAATGACATTTTTTTAATATTTAAGGGTGTTAATGAAACTTTTGAAAGTTTAAAAATATTATTGTGTCAAAATAGAAAGTTTAAGGATATTTTTTTTATTAATTAATCTTTTAAGTTTTTGAATTCATTTCATAATAAATCGTAATAATTATTCTCAATAAATGAATTTAATAAAATTACACAAAAATTTAATGTAGATATTTAGTACCGTATGTATATGGTAGAATAAGGTATATTAAATGAAATAAATATATTATAAAATTATATAAAATTTTACAAATCAAAAGTATGTATACGGTAAAATAAGGTAGGTTAAACGAAATAAGTATGTTATAAAATTACATAAAATTTTAATGGTAGATATTTAGTACAAATGAAAGGTATGTATACAGTGGTATATTAAATGAAATAAGTATATTATAAAATTACATAAACTTTTTTTATTTAATTTTCATTCATTAATATGTCTAATATACCTAAAATTTTATATATTTTAAGTTTATTTAGCCATCAATATTAATAATTAATCTCAAATAAATGAATTTAAATAAAATGGTAAATAATTAGTATATCATATTTTAAAGATTAAATATAATTAATTTATCCCGTTCTTTTCAACCATTTAAAAATGATTAATAAACACAAAAAAAAAGAACTAGTGAAAATGAAACTACAAAGCACGAGTTTTCTTTTTTTTTTTTTTCTTTTCTCTCATTTCCTTGTCTTTTCTTGAAATAAATAGTCGAGAAATATTGGAATGTTATTCAATAATTTATGAAGAGAGATTAATTTTTTTTAATGAATTGATTAAGACAAATTAGAATTCAACCAATTATGATAGGTCGGTGTATTGTCTGTTAACCTCGAGTGACCAATTGATATTCTTCTTTATTGTGAGTGCGCTCCTACACCTCCTTTTTCATATTACAAATCAATTGACCAAAAATAAAAATAAAAATAAACATCAATTAAATTTAATAGACTAAATTAATAAAAATATTTATAAATTTTGTAATTTATCTAAAAAAAAATATAATTGGATAAAAATATTCTAAACTTTCACGGGTTTGAGGAGTACTCTTAAAATTTTAAAAAGTTTCAATAATACTTTTTAACTTTTTTACCAAGTAAAAAAAATATCTTTTATTCGTGGTACGTTTAAAAAATGTTCTTGAACTTTTAAATTTTTATTCATATCCATAAATTTTTTTAAAAACTTAAAAAGACCATTAATTCTTTAAAAAAAAATACGGTGAACATATGAAGGTTTTATTTACTAATCTAAGGGTCGTGTTACCTTGGTTAGAATTACTGGTTTCTCTATTATATTAATAATAGATTTTCAAAACTATTAATATTTTTAAAAAGTATTAAAAATATTAAAATAATTTTTGAAAATTTGAGTGAAACCTATTAAATAGTTGAAAGATATTTTTAAAATAAAGTATTAATATTTTTTTCTAAAATTAATTTAATAATTTTTAAAAAAATATTATAAAATTTAAGGATATTATTTTGAGGGTTGGAAGACATTTTAAATTTACTATGAAACCATACATTAATAAATAAATAAAAAATTTAAAATTTTTAATAATACGCTAAAAAAATTTAAAAATATAAAAAAAAATACTCTTAAATCTTTATAAATTAAAAAAAAAAAAAGTTAGTTTGAAATGAGAACGTTAATACTTTATTTTGAAAATAACCTTCAACCTTTCAAAAAAAACATTTTAACTTTTAAAATGTTTAAAAAATATTTTTGAGTTAGTTAAAAGTTTTATTAATATCTTTTTTTAAAAACTCAAAAAAAAAAAATTCTACATTATATCCATCTAAAAATATTTATAAATTGACCAAATAATATTAAAATATTTGAAAATAATCTATTTTTTTTTGTCCGTATATTATTACTAAATTTTTTTAAAACTTCTTTATTTTTTATAAATATAGAAAGGGTTAATGCTCTTTTTTTTTACTTTTTATAAATATTGCTATTAAGAGTATTTTTGAATTATTTTTTAGAGTCGATAAATATGAAAGAAACTTAATTTTTTGGTTTTATTCTTAAGAAGATAAAATTATTTAAAAAAAATTAAAATTTAAAAGCATTATTGGAATTTTTAATAATTTAGAGACATTTCTTTTGGTGTATTTATTTAATCATAGGCTACAAACAGAGAATTACAATAAATTTAAAAACTGTTTCCGATATATGAATATGACGAACGTCAATTTCTGAGACAATAAAAGGCAAAACCAGAGAGCTCACATATTCTCCCAAACACTTCAAACCACCTCTCTCATGGGTTCTTTGCCTTCTGACACTCTCGCCGTCGAAATGACCGACACCCATGTTCTCGCCGGCGCCGGCGACGGAGCAGACACCACCGAATGGCTCCTCAATTCTCCCAATCCTCCGAGTTTCTGGGAAGAACTTGCCGCCGCCGTCAGAGAAAATGTCATTCCACGAAGCTGCACAAAGACCCATTTGGCAAAGAAGAAGACGAAAACCACTTCTTCAAGCTCTGAAAAACAGAGCATTTTTAAAGCCACTCTGACCCTTCTGCAGAGCATGTTCCCAATCCTCAAATTGGGCCGAAACTACAAAGCTTCTAACTTCAAAAGCGACATAATGGCTGGTTTAACTCTTGCCAGTCTCAGCATTCCTCAGGTACTCGCAAAAACATCATAAATTTCTGTTCTTTTTGGGGTTTTTTTTCATTAAAAATTGAAGCTTTTTTCCCCCTTTGGTGCAGAGTATTGGGTATGCGAATTTGGCTAAGCTTGATCCTCAGTTTGGTCTCTGTAAGTGTCGGAATTTGATCCATTTTGTCGTACTAAATTTCCCGACTCTGTTTCTGACATGTCTGGTTTGTAAAATTTTAGATACAAGCGCTGTTCCTCCTTTGATCTATGCTCTAATGGGGAGCTCGAGAGAGATAGCCATTGGCCCAGTGGCTGTGGTGTCGCTGCTTCTTTCGTCTATGCTGCAAGAGATTCGAGATCCTGTTGCAGACCCAGTTGGCTATAGAAGCCTTGTTTTTACTGTCACCTTATTTGCTGGGATTTTCCAAGCAGGATTTGGACTTCTGAGGTAACTTTTTTGGGTCAATTTCAGTGCAAATTTGGGTGTTTTTTTGTTCTTCTGTAATGGGTTTGTTGTTTGTAGATTGGGGTTTCTTGTGGATTTTCTATCTCATGCTGCCATTGTTGGGTTCATGGCTGGAGCTGCCATTCTCATTGGTCTTCAGCAATTGAAAGGCTTGCTTGCTATTAGCAACTTCACGACCAAAACCGATGTGGTCTCTGTTTTGGAATCTGTCGTGAGATCTGCTCACCAGCCTGTATGTTCTCTGCTTCAAAACTAAGAGAAACAAAACAAAGCTTCCATGGATTGACCTTGTCCTTCTCTCTTGGTTTTTTGCAGTGGTACCCTTTGAACATTGTTCTTGGCTGCTCGTTTCTGATCTTTCTCCTTGTGGCCAGGTTTATTGTAAGTCTTTTTAAGTGCTTTAGCAACCTGAGATCCAGAACGTAACTTTCCTTATAAGAGTGTGGAAACTTCTCACTAATTGTTTTAAAATTTTGAGGGGAAGCCTCAAAGACAAAGTCCAAAGAGGATAATATCTGCTAGCAGTGGACTTGAGCTGTTATAAATAGTATCACAGCCAGAGAGGACGGTGCGAGGCACTGGTTGAAGTAGGGCTAGACCTTCTCCATAGTAGACGCATTATAAAACCTTGAGGGAAAGTCCATAAGGGAAAATCCAAAGAGGACAATATCTGCTAAGAGTGGACTTGGACGGTTACAAATGATATCAAAACCAGTCAACGGACAGTGCGAGACACTGGTTGGAGTAGGGCTAAACCCTATCCATAGTAGACGCGTTTTAAAACCTCAAGGGAAGCCAAAAGTGAAAGTCCAAAAAATACAATATTTGCTAGCGGGACTTGGACTGTTACAAATTGTATAAGAGCGAAGCACCGGGTTGTGTGTCAGCAAGGATGCTGGCCCCCAAGGGAGGTGGATTATGAGATTCCACATCAATTAGAGAGGAGAACGAAACATTTCTTAGAAGGGTGTGGAAACCTCTCCCTAGAATACACATTTTAAAACTTTCAGGAAGCCCAGAAAAAAAAGTTAAAGAAGACAATATCTATTAACTGTAGGCTTGAGCGGTTACGAGAAATCTTTCGGAAATATTTGAACTTTGTTTAAGAGTTTTGAGTTGAAATGCAGGGTAGAAGGAAAAAGAAGCTGTTTTGGGTGTCAGCCATTGCTCCTCTCATATCTGTCATTCTCTCCACTTTGATAGTGTTTGTGTCAAGAGCTGATAGACATGGAGTTAAGATAGTTAAGGAAGTAAAAGAAGGGTTGAACCCAATCTCTGTTCATCAGCTGCAATTCAACAGCTCAAGTGTTGGCTTAGCTGCCAAATCTGGCCTCATTGCAGCCATCATAGCTCTCACAGTTGAGTTTCAAATCAGCCTCCTAAATGGCCATTGAAGGCTTCATGTAAGCTTAATGATATGTTGTGTTTTCTACTCAGGAAGCGATGGCTGTTGGCCGATCCTTCGCCTCCATTAAAGGCTACAACATTGATGGGAACAGGGAGATGATTGCTATGGGCTTCATGAACATTATAGGCTCTCTAACCTCTTGCTATGTAGCCACTGGTCAGTTTTACCTTCTACCTTTAAAATTTGGACTTTTCTACATAAATTATTGCATCCAAGACTGTCTTATAGGGTAGCTGTGTTTAATACCCGGAAGACGAACCTATTGTCCTCTTACGAGAATTTGAGATCCCACGACGGTTGGAGAAGCAAACGTTCTTTATAAGGGTGTGGAAATCTATCTCTAGTAGACGTGTTTTAAAAATCTTGAGGGAAAGCTCGAGAAAGAAAAACCTAAAGAGGATAATATCCGCTAGTTGTAGATTTGGACTGTTACAATGGTATTAGGGTCAGACACCAAATGATGTGTCAGCGAGGAGGCTGTGCTCAGAAGGCGGTGGGACACGAGGCAATGTGCCAACAGGGACGCTGAGCCTCGAAGGAGAGTGGATTGGGGGAAGGGGTCCTACATCAATGGGAGAAGGGAACGAGTGTTAGCGAAGACGCTAGGTTCTGAAAGGTAGTGAATTGTGAGATCCCACATCGATTGGGGAGGAAAAGGAAACATGGGTGTGGATACAAAGAAATTATTCAACTTTTAATAACCACTCGATACAAATTTGAGATGTTTTTGTACGTTTTCTCTCTATATTTGAGGTGCACGGGGGTCGATAATGTGTCGAGAAATCTTTAGTTACGAGTTGTTTGAACTTTTTCAGGGTCATTCTCAAGAACGGCTGTGAATTTTAGTGCTGGGTGTGAGAGTGTATTGTCAAATATAGTGATGGCAATAACAGTGATGTTGGCATTGCAATTCTTCACAAGGCTCCTCTACTTCACTCCAATGGCCATTTTGGCTTCAATCATTCTCTCTGCTCTCCCTGGTCTTATTGACATCAATGAAGCTCTGCGCATCTGGAAGCTCGACAAGCTTGACTTTCTTGCCTGTCTTGGCGCTTTCCTCGGTGTCTTGTTTCATTCCGTGGAATTTGGCCTTCTTCTTGCGGTAATCTCTTTCTCTTTCTTTCTCTCTCCCACTAAACCAAATCGACTAACCCACTCACTAGTTCGGTTCCAGTTATATTCAAAACGGACGAACCCACTAGCTCGATTTCAATTATATTTGAAATTGACGAACCCACTAGTTTGGTTCCAGTTATATTCGAAACCAGCGAACCCACTAGCTAGTTCGGTTCTAGTTATTTGAAACCCACGAACCCACTAGCTAGTTCGGTTCTAGTTATTTGAAACCCACGAACCCACTAGTTTGGTTCCAGTTATATTCGAAACCAACGAACCCACTAGCTAGTTCGGTTCTAGTTATTTGAAACCCAACGAACCCACTAGTTTGGTTCTAGTTATATTCGAAACCAACGAACCACTAGCTAGTTCAGTTCTAGTTATTTGAAACTCACAGACCCACTAGTTTGGTTCCAGTTATATTCGAAACTAACGAACCCACTAGCTAGTGCGGTTCCAGTTATATTCGAAACCCACGAACCCACTAGTTTGGTTCCAGTTATATTCGAAACCAACGAACCCACTAGCTAGTTCGATTCTAGTTATTTGAAACCGACGAACCCACTAGTTCGGTTCCAATTATATTCGATTTGTTTAAGCCTCGTTTGATATAAGTTTCACCAACAAGAAATTTTTCGTTTAGTTTAAATATTCTAAGCTAAAAACAGACTCGAAACTGAACCAAACCAAACCATGAAATATTACTGGTTGGGTTCGGTTAAAAGTCAAATGGAAGTAAAGGAAAGTCAAAAGGGTGAAAATGTCTTTTCCTTTTAAGGTGGAAGTGGATAAAATGATTGAAACAAGTTGCAAACTTTAAGAGGAATAGATTGAGACATGAGAACAAGTTGTGTGCTAAAAAGGACAAAATGCATAGGTCAAGTAAGCCAAGTTGTATAATTTAGTACTTTTCCTGTCTGTTTTTGGAACATTTAATCATGGACTGTTTGTCTTGTTACTGGTGGGCGGTTCCACGTCTACTCAAAATATATTGAGATTATATATATATATATATATATTATACGATCATCTACGAAAATTTTAGACGTTTATCGAGATACCAAATATAAGTAAAATCTATACTACTTTTAACCTATACTAAAAGACAATTCATGTGATTTTACAATTTCGAGCTCTACTAAAAGGTCGTGACTTTATCTGAGAGGTTAGTATAATTTGTGTTGGATTCTACCCATAAATTTCGGTCTAAGCATTTTCTGGTTGGAGTGTCGGAAAAGATTACGGGAACTAAGCGAGAGACAATACTTTTATTTCGAGGAATAAAAAAACAAAGTTGCGAGAGTTTATCTGAGATTGAACAATATCATATCATTGTAGAGAGTCGTTATCCTAACATTTTCATTGATTTTTCAGGTCGGAATTTCATTTGCGAAGATATTGTTGATATCGATGAGACCCGCTATAGAAGAGGTGGGAAGGCTTGGAAGAAGTGACATGTTTGGCAACATGAAGCAATTCCCTATGGCCATGAAAACTCAAGGAATCTCCATTGTTAGAATAAACTCTAGCTTGCTTTGTTTTGCCAATGCCAGCTTCATCAAAGACAGGTTTTTTTACTCAAAAGTTTGCAACTTTAAGCTTATTTGAGAAATGGGTTTTCATCATTTTAATGGTTTTTTATCAGAATAATGAGATTGGTTGAAGAAGATGATGATATTGAAGAAACAACCAAAGATCAACCTAAGCAACTAGTTGTCGACATGTGTAGTAAGTTTTTCCTCGAATCAATCGAAAATTAGGGTTTTTGGATATCTTTTAACGATAACTTTCTAAAAGTTGTGTTTTTTTTTAATACCCTTAACTTTGAATTGGTGGATTTCGTGTTTCTTTTCATTTAGATGTTATGAATATCGACACGTCGGGGATCATTGTTCTAGAGGAACTTCACAAGAGGTTGTTATTGAACGGGATACAGGTATGACAAACCGACAGATCTCTGAAACAAAAACGAGCAAATTTGATTGATTTTGATGTTTTGTAGGTAACAATAGCAAGTCCAAAATGGGAAGTGATTCACAAACTTAAAAGAACCAATTTTGTTGAAAGAATTGAAGGAAGGGTTTTCCTATCAGTGGGTGAAGCTGTGGATTCATGCCTTCAAAGTGCTTCCAAATTGCCTTCTCCTACCAAAGTGCTTGTCACTTGAAACAAGCTTTTCATGAAATAAAATCAATATGTGTATATATATATATCTATATATAGCATCATGTCATATGTACTTGAGTGTGGCACTAGAGACTTATCAAATATATCTTTTGTTTATGTGATAGCGCGATTAATTAGATTTTGAACTTTTAACAACCTTAATTTAGTTTCTCTCTCCCGTGTGGCGACATGGGGGCGAAAAAAAGAAAGAGAGGGATGAGTTTCTCTCGCTTTTGGCATAGCGGGAGGCCCGCACGACGGGCTATTAGCTCAGTGGTAGAGCGCGCCCATGATAATTGCATTGTTGTGCTGGGGCTGTGACGGCTCCTCAGCCATATAGATAGTTCAATGGGCTCATCAGCGCCTGACGAGATGTGGATCATCTAAGTTATATTAGCATGACATACTTCTCCTGTTTGAATCGGGGTTTGAAACCAAACTTCTCCCCAGGAGGATAGATGGGTCGATTCAGATGAGATCCAATGTAGATCCAACTTTCTATTCACTCGTGGGATTCGGGCAGTCCGAGGGGGACCATCTCTGTTCCTCTTTTCTCGAGAATCCATACATTCCTTATCAGTATATGGATAGCTGTCTCTCGAGCATAGGTTTAGGTTCGTCCTCAATGGGAAAATAAAACGGAGCACCTCACAACGTATCTTCACAGACCAAGAACTACGAGATCGCCTCTTTTATTTCGTTTGGGAAAAAAAAAATAGAATTTAGTATCCATAAATGTAAAATTCGTTTGTATTGATTCTTAACTAGACCGATTATTTACAAGTAGCTGAGACTAAATTCTAATTTATTTAAAAAAATATAAAAGAATTATAATTATAATTTAATCCATTTTTTAAGTATTAGTTTGAGAGATTAATCTAGATTAGTTAATTTATTTTGGATATATCATTGGAACTATTTATTATTGAAATTTTAGCGATTATTTAAAAAAAAAAAAATTAAAGACTACTTGAAAGTTATTTATAAGGTAGATTTTTAAAACAGAAAAAAATTAAAAAAAAAAAAAAAAGTTAATCCAATTTTATTTCCTATATTTATTATTTATTTAGTTTAAATTTTACACTCTCTCCATCTCGAATATAACAGAGGTTGAAGCAGCAATCCATTGGAGAGGGGCTATCAAATCCAGGAATCTGATCCACGCTCAACAAAATGGGGGCAGAAGAAGCGGTTGTGGAGCGAGAGAAGCTCTCGTCTCATGATCCGAGCGCGAATCCCATCACGGAGGCTCAGTTCCTATCGTGGAAGCGCCACAAGGTACTTTCCCTTCTTCTTCTTCTTCATCAATCTCTTCCAAGCTTTTCTTTGGCCGCTTTCCATTTCTGCTCTTTGATGTGCGATTGATCTGTATGAGTTCTTTTAGGTGCCGATTTCTTGTATTTCCTGCCAAATCAGTGAAATTCGAGAATTAGGGTTGCATAGATTGGGCGAGTTGTTTGAAAATTGAAATTATCACAATTTTAAATCTCAAGGATTCGTTCAATTAGGATGGTATTCAGGAATAGTTTCCTCTGTTGTGCGAAGATGAGGCTTAAATTTTGGGATTGTAACATGTATGAATGTACTTTATCTGGCTCGTGCCAAATAGACCTGAGGCTGAGACTGGACTTCTAGTCGATTGAGCTATACTTAGGTTGACAGAACGATTGACGATATGTAACGGACCAAAGCAAACAATATCTATTAGCGGTAGGCTTGAGCTATTACAAATGGTATCAGAGCTTCTAGTCGATTGAGCTATACTTAGGTTGACAGAACGATTGACGATATGTAACGGACCAAAGCAAACAATATCTATTAGCGGTAGGCTTGAGCTATTACAAATGGTATCAGAGCTTCTAGTCGATTGAGCTATACTTAGGTTGACAGAACGATTGACGATATGTAACGGACCAAAGCAAACAATATCTATTAGCGGTAGGCTTGAGCTATTACAAATGGTATCAGAGCTTCTAGTCGATTGAGCTATACTTAGGTTGACAGAACGATTGACGATATGTAACGGACCAAAGCAAACAATATCTATTAGCGGTAGGCTTGAGCTATTACAAATGGTATCAGAGCTTCTAGTCGATTGAGCTATACTTAGGTTGACAGAACGATTGACGATATGTAACGGACCAAAGCAAACAATATCTATTAGCGGTAGGCTTGAGCTATTACAAATGGTATCAGAGCCAGACACTGGACAGTATGCCTGCGAGGACTCTATGATCCTAAGAGGGGTGGATTGTGAGATCCTACATCTATTGGAGAGGGGAACAAAACATTCCCTATAAGAGTGTGGAAATCTCTCCCTAGCAGACACATTTTAAAATTGTGAGGCTGACAACGATACGATACGTAACAATATCTGCTAGCGGTAGGCTTGAGCTTAGCTATCTTGAAATTATAAGGCTATTAACGTTCTAAACTCACATGCTTCACAATTGATTGTCAGTGGCAGAAACACAGGTTGGTTCTTGTACGTTCAAGTTAACTAATCACTGAACGGCAAAGAACCTGAACCATTCCACTAGTCAATTATGAGGCAATTTCTGCATCAGTGACGTAAATGAGTTGTGTTGCTGTTCGACATTTATCTCCAACTATCTCCTCTTATTTGCAGGATGCCGAGGCATCTGCTAAAAGAGATGAAACAGCAAGGAAGCGTGCGGAGGATATAGCCTCAGGAGCAGTGCAAATGAATGGGCGAGAGCTTTTCTTGCACCAACCGTGGGTTTTTGACAACACTCAATATTGAGGTTGGTGTTTTAGTACCACTTTTTGTTGTTTCTTGAGAAATGTGTCTGTCCTTTAAAATGCTACCTTGTATCTTAATCAGCATATCCTTCATACAAAGTATTAGTTCTTACGCCCAAAATGCTACCCTCATATATGAATCTGTGCAAAAGGAATGACTTGACCCAATTGGTTCTAGACAAAGATGTATATGCAAATATAGGCGCTAATTTGTCCTATGCTGTTAGCCTCATATGAACTTTATGATATGCATTTGTCTTCTCTAGTTTACAAATCACATGTTAACAAAATGTTGTGTTTTTTCCTTTACTAGGTCCTTACATGATGAAATGTTTTTCATGTGGGAATAAAAATCATGATGTGTAGTGTCCATTGTTATAGGCGCTACTTTACTTAGTGCAATCATGCGTACCCAAGTGTAACGATTCGATTTTCTTTTGTAAACGTACTGGTCTAAGTTTAGCTTACTTATAAATTGTTTTGTAATTTAAAAACAAATGAAAGAATACCCATATATAGCAAAGTAAAATCATCTTCTAGATATCCATTTAAATGATTTTTAGAATGCTTGTAATTTAACTAAATAATTCAATAATGCAATTTTCAATAAGCACCATCATTTTAATTTCTAAGAGTTTTCTACTGCCAATTAAATCAATAAACTAACTCAAAAGAAAGTGTTTGAAATGAAGAAAACATAAGGATTAGAGTTGCTCCATAATTGGCTTCTCTAGTCTATTTGTAACTCTAGTGCCATAAATTTGCCCTCACTTAAAAATCATTTTAGGAAAACGATGAATATTTAAAATACTCAATAAAATACCCATCTACGACATATATTATATAGTTAAGGTAAAATTGAGAGACTAATGGTTACCTAGGCATACTCCCTGTAAACTTTCCACAAAATCCTTTTCATCACCTTAGGGCAACTATGGTGGTAGCTATGAAACAACCAACATGCGACAACCACCAAATCGTTATCATCACACTAAAAAGGAATTGTTATCATCACACTAAAAAGGATTGATGGTAGTTTTAAAGTAACTAATACGTAATCACCACCAAGTTATTATCATTACACTAAACATAACCACCAAGTTATTATCATTACACTAAACATAACTATGGTGGCAGTTATGAAATAATCAACAAGTGAATCTTAATCAAAACTAGGGTTCATTTTGATAACTATTTGAATTTTAGTTTTCACACAGGGAGCTTATTTGTTCTGTGATCTACTTTATAAATATAAACATGTATTCAAATTTTAGTTTTGTTTTGGAAATGCAAAGTAGTTTTAATTTTTTAATTTTTTTTAATTTTTTTTTATTTCAATAAGAATTCAAATAATTCTTGAATAAAAGATGAAAGACATGGTGTGAAGAAAAAGAGCAAGTACCTGCGTACTAAAAACTTTCATGTTATCCAAAAAAGATTCCCATCTCCAGTTGATTGAACCTGTCAGATAGTTTTCATCACTTTCAAAGAGATTTCTGTAGAAATTTCAACGGTAAATAACACAAATAGAGGAGGTAAGTGCCTGTCTCATTATACAGCAGCATAGCAATTAGTAGGAGAGGTACTGGACTTGGTCAGCTGCCATCCAACAAGTTCACTTTCTTTTGTGCCTGTGCTGAAATTCTGGACAAACATAAAACTTAAATCTTTCCAACATATTCAGAAGAACCTTGGTAATTTGTTAACATGTTTAAGCATGCCACTTCAAAAAATAAAAATAAATAAGGGATGATAGAGTTTACAAATAATCTACACGTAGAACTGGCACTTGCACTGATGCTTGAATTGAAAAAAACGTCTATATAATACTCAAATCCCAGTAAAAAAAATGTAACTTATTTTTTCCTATATGATACAGCAACTTACAGGAAGGGGTAAATTATTAAGTAATTGAAATGCCAGTCGGAAAAGGCAATATTTACAGCATGGACTCAACAAACTCAAAAAGCAACAAGAATAACCTCAAACAACAGTAGCTGAAGAGAGAAAAATGGGGTGCAGTTAGGGACGATTTGGAAAACGCCCTAGCAGCAGTGGGTGCAATTTCTTGCCTATTTGGAGGGCTTAGATGTCCATCGGTTGGTAATGCAGTTGGTGATCCGTCATTTGAAGGTGGTTTGGCATGGCCTGCTTCGCCATGGTTGATATCTAGGCCTGCAATTTTATACAGTGATAAATGTCGAATGAAGAAAAGGGAATTGAATCATGCTCAAGCCTCAATATAAGTTCTTCTTCCATGCTGATATAAAATAAATAAATAAAAAGGCCAGAAGTATATAAGCAATGCACAGAAACTTAAATCTCGACACAGGAAGAATTGAATATCCTTGAAATCAGAAGTTGCTGAGAAAATTCAAAAAGCAAGATTTCATTTTTGCCTTAACCAAACTCTTTCTTCCAGATAATCTTTCGAGTGATGGAAGATCAGCTAATGCACACTGTTAGAAGAAAATTCAAAGTGTAAATAATAATGAAAACATGCTTACATTTGGACTTGGACCAACCCAACTGAAGATTTTCTCTGTCAAAAACCAGCCGGTAACCCACCATCAAGTTTTCTGTAGCACAAATGGAAGAAGATATCACAAGTTTTTATCATTAAATGCATTTACGAATCCAAGCTCCTATGTGTAATCGTGTGGTAGGAGAAGAAAAGGAACTATATTATAGAAAATCATTGAAAAAGTAGCATATACAACCACAGAATTAAAAGTCCTACTTACGTCCAATTACACCGTAATCATCATCTGTCTCTTCTAAGGTTAAACAAAACAGTTTATATCCCTGCACATTAAATTTTATAAAGTTCATACTTCGACCAAAACAGATCAATCGTAACCACCGAGGCAAAAAGGATATGAAGTCCTTTAAAGTCAAGTTGTTGACATTCTAGAAAAGGGGTATTTTGAATGCAATAGCCTCCATCCATAGCAATAAAAGAAAAGCCAGAGAAGGGAACAAATATTTCAGCACTTGCCCAAACATGACTTCGTGTCCTCAAACTGTGTTCAAAAACATTTCTAGCTTGCCCAGTCCCAAACAAACAAATTGAGGAAAGAAATCAATATTTTTAAGGGCCCACTGGGAATAATCATTTGGGTAAAATTACTTGGGAAGAAAGAGCAAGATGTCTAACTTACTTGGCTGTCAGGGAGGGTATACACAGGATCATGTATAAAGCTTTGATTCAGAGGAAACACGAGTTTCATACTAGGAATATAAGAGGACTCCAGCGAACTGTTCCACAATAAAAGAACTGTCTGTCAACCCTTAAAAAATGAGGAAAATACAATATTTATTTTACCTTTTTCAAGCACCTACCTGGAATTATAGCAGTAATTCCAGGGAAATTCTTGGAGAATTATCCTGGTAGCATTTAATTTTACTTGTTTGTCAAACTGCATTAAGTAATTCGAGACTTTAGGCCAAACAAAATTGAAATATCACACATCATTATATTCCAGTATCACCTCAAAGACTATCTTTTTATAGATTTCTGTAGGAAGATATGTAAAAGACGAGCCACTGTCCACCAATGCGTGGAATCCACTTTTCTGCAGACAGGAACTCCCAACACAAAAGGACTCCACCTCGACAAAATAGGCATCACTGAGACAAGGAATGGATGGCTTAATGGTGTTGGTGATAATAGATAACTTCAAGAGAAAATAAAGGTTAGAATTGGCTTAGCTAATAATTTAGTTGCTAGATCACATACAATTCACCAAATAATGGCAAAAATTGTGTTGTTTGCTGGGTGGCAGGACCATTGTCCCCAAAGAGGATTCTCCCAGAACCATTATTATCAAAACAAAGCGAGAATGTATTTCTAACCAATCCTGCTTTTGCCAATAAGGTTGGCACTGAAATGTTTCCAGGACCCAACCCCATAACACCATCAGGAGCAGCCCCATCCAAATAGTAACCACTCTGTTTCCTACCACAGCTGCATCAAGAGGGAGAGGGGGAGATCACAGGCAAAGATTCAGGTGGCATTCCAATATCTCAACTTCAACATTGTTCAAGAAGAAGAAAACATCAAAGAAAAGCATCAAAGTATGTGACGCAGTAAGAGCCCACCCTAATACAACTGAGGCCTGCAAAAGACGTTGTGTACCATGTTTGCTGAAAGATGCCAAATGCAATTTATCTTCAATCATAAATCCAGAAGTTGATGTATTATCTGTGTAATAATCTCTTTTATAAGTGCAGGGATCATCAGGACTTTTGCAAGTTGTGCTCCAAGCACATAATTGATGACTGCAGGAAAGGTACTGGCTGGTGTTTGATAAAGCTGGATTGTACGCACTCAGATCCCTATCCTGCATCATAGACAGCCCCAAACAGAAGAGAGCACCTGCCAGTCAATTGGTGAAATTAACTGAAAAACCTGTCACAGTTCTTATTTGACTACTAGACAAGTAATGAGACATACTAAGATAGATCGGAACATAAAAGAAAGAGGTAATTAATTGAAAACAATCGTATATATATGCGGTGTCCATTTAATTATCAGTATAGATTTAGATAAGAGCTTACTTTTGATGTACATTAGTTCGTCTTTTTGTTTTTTTTTCTTTTATTCCGTTAATGATATATCTGAGTGGAAGGATTTTGAATACAGATCTCTCTTTAGAAGTAACATTTCGCAAGTTATTTGGCAAATTTAACTGATAGAACGAGAGATTGTCGCTTTACAACAGACTAACGATAGGTTTCAACTTTGAAGGATACGGAACATATGAATGTTTCGATATCCACATCAGTAAACCTCAATCTTTTATGATTCGATGATTAGGATTCTTGCACAGTAATTTAACTTCTTATTTGAATTTGGAGGAAAAGGAGACTAGTTATCCAGTTCATGAACTAGTTCAGCAGCTCACATCCCAAATACGACTTGGAATATGTTAAAAGAGGCATTAAAGAAATGAAGAAATTAATGTAGGTGATTGCAGTCATACCAGTGAGCTATAATGACTTGCAGACAAGGGAGCACATTGAATGCAATCACACGGAACCCAGAGCAGATCACTTCCAGCATCCAATGCAACGAGAAACGAAACACTCGGTGTTCCTATATCAATCCATGTGTAATGTAACCTGGACAACTAGTTCCACTGAATTCTTTAATCGCTCTAACAAACAAGGTAAAGAAAATACTCCCTCCATGCTGCTTCAAATTTTTAATGGTGAAGGAAATGCTGATAAAATTAAACATTATCGTTGCTGTGAAAGTAAAGAAAACTACACAATTGGTAGAACTTAGAAGTTAGCTAGTCAATAAAGCGATCACGTCCTGGAACAGTTAAGCTCAAGCATACTAACCAATCAAATTCGTTCCCAAAGAACACGACCTCGTTTCCTTCAGAAGGAAAAATCACCTCGTACTTCGATCCGATCTTCAGTCTCCGCCTCTTCAAGTCATAATCCTTAAGCGTTTCAAAATACTTCAAGCTATTCCTCCTCGGCCAAAATTTTCCAGACGCATTACCGTTCCTGGACTTCCAAAGCGCTTTCGCCTCATCGGAGAATCGATGAATGAGCCTCGACGAGAGCCTAAGCGCAACAGAACTGTCCACAAAGAAACAAGCTACAAAGAGCAAAACTACCAAGAAATTCGCCATGGAAACTGAAGATGAAGATCAGATTTCGTAAGAATGAACTTCTGCAACGGCGAGAGAGCATCCGGATTAGGGGAAAAGGCAAGGAACCGAGCCTTCTGCAAACGGAGTAGAGATTGAAGCGTGAATCATGAATGGTGACGACGATAAATCAAATTGGGTGAGACTGTGAGAGTGCTATAATGCGCTGTTTGTGCGTACGCTGCGCGTTTCCTTGTAATAAATGCGCCTATATTATGTTCATATGCGACATATTTTAAATTTAGAAATTTAGAAATTTATTGAATATTTTTTTAGCTTCAATTAATTTTTAGACATAATTATAAAACATTACAAATTTAATATTTAAATTTTATTTATTAATTTTTATTTTAAAAAATATTATTAAAATTTAATGAGATTTCTAAAATTTTACAAATTTAATATTTAAAATTTTACTTTATTTACTTAATTTTTATTGTAAAAAAATATTATGAGCTAAATTATTATAAATTTTAATCAAATAAAAATCAGCAGTTGAGTGGGCCGGGCTGGAAAAGGTTGGCCCATTATTAAAAGAAGGCCCATTAAGCTTCCAATCAGGCCACGGAAGAAGCCCGGTTCTGTTGACGTGCAAGACTCTAAAACGATAAACCCTAACAATTGAGTCTTCTCTTTGCAGTCGCGCCACTCCTTGTCGTGGAAAAGCTTCAGAACAGGGTAAGGGATGATTCAAATTGTGATTCGAAGGTCTTGATTGTTTTCATCTCTGATTCTTTCTGTTTCTTCTTTTCTTTAAGAATTTTGTACACGAGAAGCGACAATGGCGCCGGCGAAGAAGACTGTAAGTATTACTTGAACTGTCCGTGAATGCTGCTCCTCCAATTAATTTAGGGATAATAGTTTTGATGATCTGTGGTATTGCAATTGCAGAAGAAGACTCATGAGAGTATTAACAACAGGCTTGCCCTTGTGATGAAGAGCGGCAAGTACACGCTGGGGTACAAAACCGTCCTTCGCACTATCCGCAGCTCCAAAGGTCTTCATACGTCGTTCTTCTTTTCTGATAGTTCTTATTGTTATTACCATTTGGTGTTTGATTCAAATTTAGGTTTCATTTGTGTACTTCTGACACATTTCTGGTTTTCGATCTGTGATAATACAGGGAAGCTTATTATTCTATCGAACAACTGCCCGCCCCTGCGTAAATCCGAGATTGAGTACTACGCAATGCTTGCTAAAGTTGGGGTTCACCACTACAACGGAAGTAAGTGTAGTGCAGACTCTGCTTTGTTAGTTTTTTGTTTATATGTTCAAGTTGTAAGCAGCGTTTTCTGACTTTGATTTTTAGTGCCTCGTATGCCGGATTTCAGATATATGGGATATAATTTATCTCTTTTCTTGTTCTGTCATGTCTTCATTATCTTAGAAAAAGAACAGTAATCAGTAAACTTAGCACTATTAATTCCGTATTAAAGGTATCTTGAGTAAGTTGATCAATTAGAGAGGTGCTTACCTGCCGTGGGCTTAAAAACTCTTGTTCTAACTAGCTCTAAGAGTGCTTATGATGGCATTTTTAAGACCAAAATGAATGACATTAAGCGTTTAATTCATCCTAACTAGAATCTATATTGAAGTATTTGTAACACAGGTGACGTTCTTATACTTTTCTTTTATTGATTTGCAACTAGTATCTTCTACGATATTTAGTATAAAGCTATATGGGTTGCTTCCATTGGTAGTAATTTGTTCTGACTCAAAAAATTGATCTAGGAGATGTAGTTTAAATTTTCATTTAATCTATATCCCATACATCTGTAATTCAAAATTTTCTGAGAAATTAAGGGGTGTATGCTCTACCTTACCTTGTATGCATGTTCATATGCGATTATTTGTGATTTTGTATGTTTTGTTTCTCCTGTCTTACATATTTTCTATATTTGGTTGCACTTTTAGGCAATGTTGATCTTGGAACTGCTTGTGGCAAGTATTTCCGTGTATCCTGCCTCAGCATTATTGACCCAGGTACTAAATGTTTGTTATTTGTGATCTTGGAACTGCTTGTGGCATGTTGATCTTTCGATCATCTTGTTCTAATTCGTGATGTTTGCATAAAACATTTTATTTTAGCTTAAAAACTTGATATAGTCCTTTCCTTTTTCCATTTACTTTATGGGTTAATATTACTTCTACTTTCAAGTGAAGTTAAGAAATTAAAGCATAATATTTTCCAAGCTTGAACGAATATGAAACATCTATAACTCACCTGCTTTTGAATTCTTTTCTAGGTGATTCTGATATTATCAAATCGCTTCCCAGTGAGCAGTGATGATACCCATCATTCAGAACGATGTATTCAATGTGGTACCACCTTTTCTCTTCAGTAAACGGTAGAATTGCATCTTTTTCAATGTCCTTAGAATAGCCCTTCTTAATTTCTGCACTTTAATCTTTTACATTGATGGCCAGATTTTGTCATTGACTTCGAGGTTTTGTTTAATTGACATGGTTGAGTAGAATGTTCAATTAGTTTTTATCTATTTATTCCCAGACAATTATTTACTCCAAATCTCCTTGCCTTTTGCATTAACAATGAAACACCCTATTTATTTACAGGATTACCTAGTTGAAAACATGAATATTTTTTTGGTTTTCATTTTTGTTTTGCAAACTTTATTCAACTATTCCACTATTCAAATCTAAATAATAGTGTTATATAAATTGAAATTATACATAAAAAATATATTATCAAATGTTTTCTTGTTTAGGACTATAATATAGTTTCTTAATTTTTTAAATTTCTTTATTCATAGGCATATAGACTTTATTTGAAGGTGTCAATAATTTGAAATAAATAATTTAAATTGATTTACTTGATATAATTATAAATTTTTATAGTAAAATACGCTTTTAAAAAAAAATTTGATAGAGATATAACTTGGTCACGTTGTAATTTAATATTATTAGTTTAATTCATCCTTGCAAAATAATGATAATAATAATAAATAAATAAGAAAAAAAAATTGATTTCAAAGTGATTGCTTCCTTGATAACCACCGGGGGAGAACGGTCGCCGTTTTATCTTCCATTCCAATTCCACCGCTGAGGGAGAGAGAGAGGGTGAAGAAGAGTGGAAGATCGAACGCTACTTCGTAGTTCTCGGAAGGTCGCCATTGCCGCCATTGATAACAGACCTCCATCCTCTCCCTTCTGTAAGTTTCTCCTTTCATTTTAACTTTGTTTTCTATTGTTAGAGTGATCGCTCTGGACTTGTATCGATTGATTCAAGAGTTGTATCTAATTCTTCTTCATCCCGTGATTAGTTCCTTTGACTTCGACTAACATAATCCAACAATCATCGTCAAGATTCGGTTTCTTTACAAAAAAAACGGAAAAATCCTTTCGTCTTCTCCATTCGCCGTTCTTCGTCTTTTTCAGCGATCAGTTTTTAATATAAACAATCGCCGACTTCAAATCCAATCTTATCCTTCGAACAAAACCAGGACCATTTGCTTCAACTTCCCCTTCTCCTCCTTCAATGGAGGATGAATTTCGGGATCCACATGGAAATTTATTACTTAATTAATGGTGTGTCTTGAAGCGTTATGAATGTGGCGACGGCTGAGTTGTGTTCTGTGTGCGACATTCAAGCAAATACGTGGTGCAATTTTGTCGCCCGCGTATGCTTCCAAATGTTGAAAAATTAGGTTCAAGAATCTTCAAATCCACTGTTCATTTCACTCGAATTTAAATCTTTTGAAGGGATCGGTTTCTGAATACAAAACGCAGAGCCCTTCTCTTTATTAAATGCAATACCTCTGTGTTAAACTCTGTTTATTGAACAACCAGTATGCAGAGCAAGAGCCTTTCTCCGGACTCCAGAGATTTCGACTTCGATGATTACATCGGAATAGAGAGCTGTGTTGATTTGATGGAGAATCACACGTCGTCGGACATCTCCGGGGAGAATTGTAGGAGAGATAACAAAATGTGGGGAATGGAGAGGAAAGATCACAACGAATATCCACCGCCGATTCAATTGCTGGTTCGAACTGAGAATCTGGCTTCCCAAATGCCATGGGTGTTGAAACGACACTACACCGACGACGGACGGCTGATTCTGACGGAGGAGAGATTGAGATACTACGAATTCTTCCGTGCCCACAGATCCAACGGCCGTCTGATGCTGCAGCTGGTGGCCTTCGACGACCAGGGCTACGATGAGTCGAACGTGGAAATAGGGGGTGAGGACGGCGGTGATGGAGAGGAATGTGCGGCGGCGGCGGAGGGCAGAGATGCAGAGATGCAGAGTCGTCTGTGTTCGGGGTGTCAGTGCCCGCAGGGAGCTTTGAGGACTGTACGAAGCTTAGGGAAAGACGTCAGTAACAGCAACAGCAACAGCTTATAGCGTGGAATCGCATTGTATGTGTGCACGTGTCATTTAATTTTTAGATGATATTATATGATTATGAAAAAATTAATTAGACTAATATTCAAATATTTGACCTTCCACCCTTCCTTGGTAGAAGTAATTCTTTTTTGTAAGGAACCCTTTTCGGTACTAAGAGTCGATTGATAACCCACAGCCGAAGGCATTCTACCCAGTAACGCGAATACTTCGGATCCCACTTAAACAAAACGAAAGATATTGTCATAAATAGAAGCACTTTTGATTCTACCGTATTTTCTTCATTATTTACTCCGGATACTTTCATTTCCATGTAAAGATCATTTCCTTCACGAGTACGTTCACCTACTCCTCCAAATACAGATAGATACTCCTACCCTTTAGAATAGTCCTATTTTTCTTCTTCCACGTCGATAAGGGACTAAAAGATCTACTACTTTAATTGATAATTTTGTATAGCTTTGTCTTATTTTTATGCAAATTTGGTGGCATAAATTACTCTAATTTGGTCGCTTTGAGCTGCATCAACGAATACCACCAACCCGACTCTATTTTCGAGTTAAGTTAGGCAGAATGGTTAGTTTATTTTTTTAATTATTTGAGAAAATTCATATTTATTATATTAATTTTTTAAAAATTTTTATAGTACTTAAATATTATTAAACACGAGTTTACATGGTAATGAAATTATTGAATTCATTATTTTTTAAATTGTTTTTAAAGTAAAAAACAATAATTATGAAATCCAAATGGCAGACGAATGAAGTCTGAACTGTGAAGAGGAAAACGACAGCATCAAAGCTGTCGTACCAGAAACGTCTGCAGAAAAACCAAACTAAAATTCAATAATATTTTTAATAATTAATAAATTATTATTACAGTTATCAGATCACACGGCTGTTTCATTCTGAGAGAAAAAAGAAAAAGAGAAGTTAATGAAAATAGTGGTGGAAAATTTGACAGATCAGCATCCAACGTGTACAACACCAATTGCCACGTAAGCCCTAATTCTTTTCTCTCTCACTCCCTAATAAACTCATATTTAATTAAAATAAAATAAAAGTTAATTAGTTTTGTAAGACAGATATTTAAGATAAAAGGAAAACAAAATAAAAACGAAAATAAATCAGTTAAAACGGGGTTTAAATATGTTTTATTGGTTAAAAATTTAGTAAATAATTTAATTGAACAGATGTATTGCAGGTTAATTAATGAAGTTGGCAATTCAACGGAGGGCCACATCCGTTCCGTTCCCATTCGGTTTAATTATTTTTAAAAATATTAATTATAATTAATTAATAATAATAATAATAATAATAATAAATAATAATAAAAGTCCGGTAAAATAAAATAAAATATATTGATTTCATTCCCGGGGGCCACCATGGCTAGGGTTTGGGAGAGCAAAAGAAAACCCTTTCTGTAATAGAACAGTGAGGAAATCCGCCATGGGGTATTTCTCTGGCGAACGCAGCTTTTTTTCAGAGGTTAAGGTAATCGTTTCGTCTTTCTTAGGCTTCCTACTCTGCGCAACGAGTTTTCGGTTCCCCATGCAAAATCAGAATCAATGTCCAGTAATCGAAACTGTACGATCCTCGATTTCTGGACTCAAAGCCCTAATTTCTTTGGAAGAAGGAAAAGGAAAGGAAGAACGAGTCATTCGCGGTGTTGGAGTCGGCATTATCAGGTCAAAATTGTCGACTAATTCTTCTTCTTCTTCTTTTTGTAATTCCATCAGATCTTTTAATTTTTTAATGGACGATTTGATCGGAACTGAGAGCGGAGTTTGCTTGACTTCGAATGCTGGAGAAATCGAAGAGAAAGTAACTCGCTCTGATTCCGATTTTTCTAATAATCGCGTTAATCGTCGCGATTTGTTGAAAAAGGAGTTTCCACCGCCGATTCCTTTCCTAGAGGCACTGGCAGGGCATCGAATTCGGCCGCCGTGGATTTTAACGAGAAATTGCATCGATGGAAGGTTGATTTTGAATCTGGAGAGAGTGAGGCATCATCAATCCTTGGAATCGCACCGTGAAAATGGCCGTTTAATTCTCAATCTCGTTCCGGCGAATGTGGCCGGCGTCGGTACAGAGGATGAGGATGATCAGGATCTTCAATTCATCGAAGATGCCGAAGAAGAAGAGAAGATGAAAGAATCGGTTGAATGCGAAGTAGGCGACGATCCTGAATATGGTTTTAAGAGTTTTCCGTTCGGCGGAGGCGGAGGCGGAGGCAGAATGGTTTGCGATCGGGGACCGTCTTGTGGTGTAAATGGGAATTTAGGAGAACGACACGTCGTCCATGGACATTTCGGTTCGGCTCCTCTTCGTTCGATGGGTACAGTTATGTGAGTTTTGTAGATGGTGAGTGGTTGCAATTGGAAACATTAAAGAGATTTAGCGTTTCGATTTTAGTCCTCCATTGATATGTCTGCAGATTTTTGTAAGTTTTTCTCGTCGCCCCTTCTTCTTCTTCTTCTAATTTTCAGTTGAACAAATAGAAATATATCGCCATACATATTTCTTTTTTAAGATTCTACCAATTTTTTTTAGAAATTAAGTGGAATTAGAAATTTTCTTCAATCATTTTATAATAACTCAGTTTATTACTAATACACACATGTTTTATGTATATATGTGTGTGTGTATATATATATATATATATTTAGTTTTTTTTTTTTTAATGTATATACAATCAGAAACAAAACTAACTAAATTTATATTTATCTTATTTATTATATAATTTTTTTGTTATAATATATTATTAGTGAATTTATTAGAATGCTTTATATTTTATAATAAAAAGTTATATTTTTAAAAATTTGAAATTGTACATTAAAGGTTTATACTTTTTTTAAATAAATAAAAAAAATTGGAGAAAATTTTCATGAAGGTTAGGAAACAAAAGTAATTTCTTTTGTCATCATTTTGGTTTGAATTTCAGGCGTTGGATACGTGGATTTCAGAACGCGTGGTGTACTCGCCTCAATTTTTACTTTAGAAGATATACCAAGGGATCCTACAGATCCACTCTTTGCATCGAGAATTGTTTGCAGACGAAGAGATGTCAAAGGGGCTGCTTACTTCCTAAACAGATCTTCCTATATGTATATATAAACGTTGGCCATCCGCCAAGAGTTTTAGATTTAATATCGATATTTTAACAATAAATTGGGAAGAGATTCTAAGCTGCTGTAAAATCGGATAGAGCTTGCATACCACGTCAGTTTTCAAGCAACTATAACTTTCATTCGATAGAATTTACATACAACAACCGTTTTCAAGCAACTACACCACATTAGAATAGGGTTCGCATACAACAATAGTTTTCAGGCAATTATAACGACACCATTTGAAGCTTTCCATGGGATGCGTTGGTGATAGGTGAACATGAGTTAGTGGGACAACCGAATTACTAATGGCTTCTAAATGTATATTTTATAATATATATATATATATAAATCTACCTTCTATGGCCCATATTCTATTTCATTTCATTTTTCTTCATTTTTAAAAATATAGGTCGAGTCTTTGGGCCTAATAAGCCCACGAAAACAGTCTTGCTGCGGTTTTCCAAAGCCCAATAAGCCCACAAAGGAAGTGAAGTTTTAAGGCAGTTTATTGGCCCGTTGTTCAGTTCCCATATATGGGCCAGGCCCACCATATTCTAAGCTTTGATTGAGAATGGACATGGTTTCATTGCTATCTCTTCATAATATGTGGAGAGTTAAAAAGTGTCCTGTAGCCATGAAGAAGGTATATTTCTTCATTTACTGTACAGAAAAAAATTACATGGAAATAGAACACAACATCCTATACTTCATAATGCTCTACCAACTGGTGAATCAATACGTGCAGAAGCTTTCTTCTTATTTACACAAAACTGTTGCATTTTCACTTGTGCAGCTCACTCGACTCTAACCTCGTACCGCCTCGCTCCCTTGACTATCAATATCCTTGGTCATATCATGCTCGAACCCGAAGATGGAGCCCTTGGTGTAATATTTGAACTGGAACGTATGAAAGACACAATAGAGACTACCTTAGGAAGCCAAGAAGCTACGAAGGAGAATTCTCCTCTCGGGACGACCACGAGGGTCGATTATTGGCATTTAGAAGCTTCCTGGACGCTCGGACGTTCTTGACAGTCATCATGAGCTTCTGTCTCTCCCCTTCAACCTCTGCAAACTGAAGGCTTAATTGGGAGTAACGGTCATGCATCTCTCTCAGCTCAGTCTCGACAGTTGTGTACTTTCCCTTTAGATCTAACATGTCTTTGATTAACTCATTGATGTCTCGAAAGCTTCGGAATATCGCTTCTTCATCGCCGTGTTGCTTCAAGAAAGAACTGAACCACAAACCAAAAATTTTGTTGAAAACATCAAGAGTAGAAAAATGCTTATAAGAATCAAATTTGCCATGCTCGTACTGTGTGATGTACCTCTGAAAATGTAGGCTCGGTTTCTTTTTAGCTCGCAACGCTTCAGCGAGCTCGATCTCCAAAGCTAGTACCCGTTCTAAAGCATTGCCACTGCTCGAAAACTCCTTGAACAGAGGGAATATGCTTCCTAGTTCTTCGTTCACCTGAACAAACGAACCGAAGTGTCAGCACGTCGATTTACAGGTCGAAAATTGGTAATTATGGACTACCTTATGTAACTGCATCAGTTGACATTCTAACCCAGGAAAATCCGCCTCCGAAGTATGATCATCAGGCACAAGCGAGTTTTCGTTTTTCAATCTTTCCAACTGCAAGCAAGAACACGAGATGACTATAACGACATTTAAAACAAACATGTTTGGATTCATATCTCAGGATCTTCCTTCTCGCAGTCCTCGAGCTGTTAAACGATACGATAAATCAAAAAACGAAACCCGAACTTTCTTTCTCCAATACAGCTTACTAACCTCTTCATTTAGGTGATCCATGCTAAATTTCAAGCTTTGAGCTCTGAAGTTATCATTTACCAGAGCTAAATGCTTTGTCTCATCATGCAGTGAGCCATCTTGATTGCCAGGAGAGCCATCTTGGAGCCCGTCAACACTTCTCAACATCCGAACATCCTGCCATTGACACGAAAATGCAATACTTTTCTCAGCAAACCAAGCAAAGTAAGCCAAATTAGACAATGACATCATATACCTG